CTTTGTTCCCTGTTACTAGCTTGGGCGAGGCGGCGCTTTAATTCAACTCAAGGCAATATGGAGTAATTCCCCGAGTTGTAGGTCTGACAACTAGAAACAACCATTCGGGTGGGGTAAAGACGACTGGAAAGTTTAAGCCTTCCTGCGTAGAGAACGTGTATAGGTATTAAGGATAAAAGTTGTACAGCGCTTGTGTGCATTCAACGAGTCTACATACTTATACAGAACGGTGTTCCGCTCGAAAATGAAGCAAACATGCACGTAAAGTCCCTCTACACTTAAAAACAAGCTGGGCGGTTTCGTTCAAAAATATTGAGGTGTCAAGCAAATGTGTACACAACAGCGATAATTGAGACTCCAGTTCTACCTTGTACTAGATGCCATCGCACTAAAACAATTGATACTGAATATGAACGTTAACTCAGTTGTCCTTCTTGATACAAGACTGAGATCGGCAACTTCTTGAGCAACAGGAATACGTTTCCCTTCGTCTACGTTATGCGCCATAGCAACTTCGATAAAGAGTCGCAGGCCACGTGTCTTTGAGTTCAGGCATGCCGATGGATCGAACAAAACAAATCGACGGGTCTGTATAAGTTCGCTACATTCTGCGAATGCTTGAAAAGTGTGGCGGGAGGGACAAGTATGTGACAAAGTGACAGACAAAGTGAAATCCGCCCCTCGGTCTTCAGACCTTCATTATGAACTTTGAACTACATTCCCTACGTAAAATTTGGTATTAGTCCTCCAGCGAAAAGGTATCATACCGCGTTAGGTAATTGTCGAAGAGCGACACAGAAATTGCATATAAAGTTAATGAGCTTGTAAGAGCTTGCTTTGCGCTTGCCAGTGTGTCTCGTTCCACTGGCACTTGACTCCTTTCACCGTCGCTAATGAGTCCAGGGTTTGAGGTAAGTTAGGTGACTGCCATGGACCTACCTCGTCGTCTACATAATATCAATCACTATTGCCAAATCGCAGTGAATCCGTTTTCGAAATCTATTGAATTGATAGTGATTTTGATGCGCATTTCGTCTTGGGGCATATCATTCGAATTTTTAACCTTGTTTTTAATTTTAATTTCGCCTTATTTCGACCTTAATTTTAGTTTCGCCCGTTTATGATTTTTATGGCTACCGATCTTTTCGTGGCCGATTCGAAGTCCTGAATCATCACATTTTCGTTATATGTAAGATATATAATATAAGAAAGGCTTTGACAATGTAATTTCTAAATAGTACTTTTTACGACATCACGATAGAAAGCATATTTACGAAATAGCGAAGGACGAATTCGTACATATGTATATATATTGAAACAAACTTTCGAAATTGTCAGAGCATGTAAGACAAATATATATATATATATATATATGGTTGGTAGCATACCTTGAACTGATTCACGCTACTGATTTTCCTTGTTTTGCGGTGTTCGCGGGTATTGTTAACTTTACGGTTCGTTACATCGGGTAGGTTATGCACCTCAAATGTGAACCACAAAAGAGTGGGAAAATTTAAAGCCTGAATGGATAGGATTATTGTTCCGAATAGTGGGCCTCGCAAAGTAACTTCAGAGATTTAGATAAATAGCTAAATTATTAACCTGATCCTAGATCTTCGTGGTCTTATAAATGTATCGCATGATTTTCTCGGTCTTTTTCGGATCTTTTTCCACCAAGGGCAGATCATTCCTCGCCCAATAATCCAGTCTAGCATAAATAGCAGAATGATAAAGAACTTCACTAATACAATCTCGCAGTCAAACTGAGAGCACTGACGTTGTTTGAAAAATTATATAAAATTTTGTATAGTTAAAACCTTGTAATTGCATAAAGAGTGTAAGGATTGCGCCACCTATCACGATGACTGTAAACCAAAATATACACGTTGGCATTTAGCCCCTGTCGCGTTCAAACTTTGCAGTTCATCACACGCAATGAGTTAGGTAAAACTCCTCTGCTTCCACTAGCGCGACGGAGTACTTTTGTGAATTTTAAGGTGATCTTTGTTCATATATTTGGCGGTATCATTTAAATATACGCGACTGCGAGACTAGCAGCTATACGGGTGGAATGTAGCAGTCAACAAAGCAGAAATATCTCTGTCAACAGCAGACGTTACTCAAAGTACCCTATCGTGCAGGTAAAAAAACGCAGCACCCATTTTTCAAGAGCAATGAACGACGTGTCTGATCGACGTAACCTTCCGTGACGTCGGTTCTTGTTTACTGTTAATAGATCAGCAAAGTTTGCCAGATAATCGTAAGAATCAACACTGTCAGAACAAGCAAGCTGACGGTGTCCCAACATTATGGCGCATCCGACACACCAATAGATGCCGTGTAAAAGCGAGAACCAGTAAACAGCTAGTAGAAAAAATGATGACAACCTTGTGTATCATGTGTACGATCGAATCGTCAGTGTAAGATATGAATACATTACATACACTGGGCCCTCGACGAAATAGAAGACGTTCTAAAACGACCTTGATACTTTGTATGCCTACGATGTCCGAGTAACGACTATAACCGTATAGAAGTATAATGGTCGTAATCTTCATCGATGTTTTACTGCTCTATGCAGTTCGCTGCAGATGGGGAGAACGGCCTTTTTATCTACATAATCGAATTAATTTTGCTAAAAAATAGCCGATGAGGTGCAATCGAACAAAGTTCATTGTATGCATCTGCAGATCGTCTACTTAAATCCTACCGGCTTAATAAATAAAATAAATACAAAAAAATAATACATTTCACTGAGTAATATGCATTTAATTAGTGGTCGAATTCGGCAATTTCAAAATCCCACAAGATGAAAAGCAATGTTCTGTCTTCGCGCATCGCTACGCTTCCTTGAAGCAATCATCGACTCATGTCGAATGATTCCGAAAGATTGATTTCCATTCTAAGACATTACGGCAGATCCGTTTCGAAATTCAGATAGTACTTCTGGATAAACCTAATGATACAGAAAAATAAGCTTTTGTTTGTCTTGTAACAGAAGTAAGAATTGCAACTGTTAGATAAAGCGATATCAGTTTTCTATGCGCCCTAGTACCAGCCCGTGGCATAACAAGTCTGTGTTCCATGGTTGTGCACTCTGTTCTGATTTATCAAAGGCACATTACTTATTTAGGTTGGGCTTGATTATTTCTTATTAACTACTAACTAAGAACTAGATGCGATTCGAGTCAAAATAAAAAAACCTAGTACTAAACTAGAAACTTCCAAGTAGTTCAATTAAGCGTACACTGTGTTTGCGCGACAAAAAATCGAGTAGCGCTAGTACCATTATGGACATCCAGCCAGTCAGTTGTCAAGCAAGAGCATTTCAAACACCACTATAAGCAGAGACATACCTTCCGACTGATATAAATCTTTTTTTCTTCTAGAGAAAAAGTGCAATAAGGAGTGCATAATAAGCATCTGTTGTGCACCTCGGGAAATTTATAGGTTGTCCGAGTTTCAAAGGTCTAATTCCATTTTCGACTCACTTTCTGTGACAGAGCTATTTGAGCCGCTTTTCTAAACTATGCAAAGTCATTACCTAAATAGAGTAACATACGCCACTGTGAGTTACCCTCGAAAAAAACATTATGCTTAGTTTCGAATCGCTAGCGTTGCTACTGTGTCTGCTATGCGATGTACCTATCGAATTCGAATATATGGCTGAAATTCGATGGCAGCCGTTGCAGCCCTTTGTAGTGGCCCTGTTGTCCCGCTTTCAAGCAGGAACAGTCAAACTCGGAAACCTGCTTATTTGATTGTAAAGCGTAGCCTTTTGGCCCTAACTCACAATTATGGAAAAACATACACTGCATTATTATTACAGCAAGTGAACTTGGTTAAATTTAGACAGTCTACAACTACTAGATAGTATTCTGTTTGTGATTGCTTTCAGACACCGTATGAAAGCGAAACTTCAAAAGGTTGTTTTCTATGAGTATCTTTTTGGCGAAATGCGCTTTTTCATAGAGAAACGTCACGGAGCCTGAGAAGTCGTCAATAAAGATTAGATCGATGTATTTGTTTCGGTTGGTAATGATCTATGGAGACACAAATATCTACCTATAATCTTAATCATATACGCTGTCTTTTCGCCGACTGATGTGTTGTTTATCTAGACACTGTTTAACGTAGGCAAAATTCTTTTATTTGTTACATTGATCACTAACAATTACTTCGGTGCTCGATTCCAATAGGTCCATTCTACCTTGTTTGGTTATATAGATATCACTGGAAGGATTTTTAAACGAGGTTGCTTGTAATCAACTAGAGGCACAATCAATTTTTCAATCGAGCAGCACAGAAGCTGCGTTGAATATTGGAGAATATATTTCTTGCCACTACCCACTAATATATTTGAAATTATGATCCGAAAAGTTCCTGAACTATATTCTGTAAACTAAGTTGCTTAATACATCGATCTATTCTTAAAAAGGCAAATTACATACGAGTATTAGCTTCTTTAGTATTTCTTCTTGAAGTCAATTATTATCAAGGCCCGATTTTCGTTACAAACCTTCATCCGATCCGAAAGCGTAATAACAACCTAATTGTTTTTATATACGTAAGCGTGCTTCTATGTAACAATCTGTCCCGCACAAATTTCGTTCATTACCTAAACGCTAACTTCGAGACGGATTTACTAATATATTCTAAACTTATTTCAGGGTAAAAAGGACGGCATATTATGACCGTCCCAATTACACCAATTCAATGATTGAACTACATGCTGAATATATCTACTTAGATGCCACAACAAACATCAAATAATATTCTCTACCCTGCGGAAGTTCATAAATAGATAGCCATTTTAACGGCAGGAACCACAGACCTAAACCTAGCTATGTTTCATTGGATTTATCGAGTCGTTATCTAAAAGCCAAAAAAGAACACTTCTGTGCAGCGAAGTTTATTTTCTAACTATAATGATTTATAAGAAGGTTTTTACAACGTATAAATACAATAAAGCCCAATTGTTTCACGTAGCAATTCTCGCTTTAGATATCTATATAGTGAAGCTGTAGAGAAGTATTTGTATGTATTATACCACCTGAGACAATGCTTCACAAGTAACGAATTACAGCATCTGATAAGCAATAATTATTGAAGACTTACTAGGTCTCGCTGAGCAGACTTTTATGAATCGTTCTCGTTCGTTTGCATAGACTATGTAAGACGGAGTTAATTTAAACAATCATCAAATGACAACGATCTTCAACAACGTTTAACTTTCGTTTGGGAAAACTTTCACAGACTCAGAGATATGCGAAAGGCGAAGGATTGGCCTGACTGGAAGCACCCAGCATATATATAGAGTGCAAGTGATCAAGGTAATGAATGTGGAAACGGCAGGTCGCGTCTCATTTTCTAAGCGGGTGTTGTATGGCTAATCTGTGAATATAATGAAAGAGTAACAAAGCGTAAATGCAACTGCTATATTGTTCGTGGTGTTAATTCTAAAGTTTTCAGTAAATGGATATAATTATATACATTGCCTGCCATGGAGGACACACCCACACAAAGGAAAGACCTTCACCGTCATGCTAGAACACGTGCCAGAGTTATCAAATGCATATAAATCTCAAATCATACATATTATACATACTCAAGCATTTATTAGTTTATTTAAATGAATAGCAAAAATAAGAAAATAATTTACACGTACAGAAGTACACAAAGCCGCTGCCCTTAACATAGATACGCCCTGTACATACAAAGTTTTTCATCTTAAATTGCATTAATTCCAAATGCTCTAATCAATTTCAAGTTCTACTCGAATAACAATGGGGTATTCTAAAATATGTTTTAGAGATATTTCTACCCTCAATAGGAGCATCCTCCAGTAGTCATTACTTATCCACAAATTTTCAAACTAGAATGAAATGGTTTATTCCTATTTGATCAAAATCCATAATAATAAATAGTCTAATAGCCCCTATCCTACGATTTGTCTGGCCCTCTCTACTGTATCGCTATTGCAAAGCCATTTATCGCGACAGATTTCCTCATCGAGGCGTTCCTTCTCCCGCCTAAAAAAACGCAAAGCTTTTTTTGCAAGAAGCACTTTAGTGATTTTTTTGTTTCTTGCAGTTGCTTCAAATTCTCGTCCTTGAACGGTAAGTTTCATCGTAGTACGACGCCCTTCGTCGGAGAGTTCGGCCTCGCCAAAGACTGCTCCGCCCGGAGCATCTGGGGGGAACATCTCGCCCAGCTGTCGCACCGGGTTGAGCCGTACATTGACGATCGCTTCTCGTAGGAAGTCCGCCCCCATTAGCTTAACCAGGACACGCCATACGGTCTTAAGGCTTTTGTTGCTATCAAGAAAGACGGCGCCCATAAGACTCTCCATTAGGTCTCCGAGCGGTTTCGGTACATCGACCTGCTCCAGATCGTCTTCACTTAACTCCACGTCTTCGAGTTCGTCGTCACCGATTAAATAGTCGAGAAGGTTGATACGCTTCTCTGTCTCGCGGTATTCGACAAAGCGATTTGTTAGTTTTAACAGGAGCGGCGAGTGGTGCTGCATACATGTGTGCAGCTTGTTGTCGACAACGATGGCGGCCAATGTATTATTGCAAACAAGAGAGGCGCGAACGTCTGTTAACTGGCCAGGGTTAAGATCGGGATCCGACGTATATATAAACTGCGAAATAAGGTAATCGACAACAGCGTCACCCAAGAACTCGAGCCGCTCGTATGAAGTCGTCAAGTGATTATAACGGTACGACTTGTGCGTTATAGCTTCAAGCAGCAACAGTCTACTTTTGAAAGTGTATTCCATGGCCTGTTCAGCTGAGCGCATTTCTGCCTCCCAACGCACGAGGTCCGCCATCCTTCCTGTCGGTAACGGTTCGGGAATTGGAAGATCGAAGCGATCTAGAAAATCGCCATCTTGGCGCCGTCCAAGCGGTATATTTAGCCAGCGTAGAAATTCCAGTGCTCCTACGGGACCGCATCGTTCCAAGTAGACTCCAATTAAAGCCTCAATCGAGTCAGCGCAGATTTTGCTCTTGTAATACTGGGAATTTCTTGACAGTTCGGCAATTTCCGCCTTAATCGCTGCGCCTTTAAGTGGTTCTACCTCTGTCGCCGAAAGTGGAATGAAGTTAACTCTTACGCGAAAGCTCCTACATTCGACATGCTCATGAATGCGTTTGGGGACAGCGTGCTGAAGCAAATTGATGTTAGAAATAATCCTGCATCTCTTGCCGGTCAGCTCTCCTTCATTGGCTTTCTGGTATTCTTGATACAAGTGTAAGGTGACAGCAATTTTAAGAAATGAGTCCCCGATGACCTCCAGTCTCTCGGAGTCAACAATGTCATTAGCATGCAGAGGAGTGAGAGCTTTCATCAAATCAACGGGGGATGGCCCGCAACAAGTTTCGAGGTTTGGCTGTTTGCTGAAATCCATATTTCTTATTGTCTCGTCATCGACACTAAGTTGGGCTCGTCGATGGCCGGCCATGCGCTCCATTTCGAGAGGTTTCCATCCGGGCTTGTTTTGATTGGGCTCGAGAGGCGGTACCCTGGAACCCAGGCCGGATACCGTAACGATATCCAAACGGAGAGCTTCAGCAGCGGCCAAACGTCGTACGCGATACAAAATAGAGGGAACAGATGTGACCTTATTCCATACAGAGCCGGGCAGACGTTCAATGACGCATTTTGCAGCGCTACGTGGTGCCAAACTATGCGCTTTTCGGTGCTTAGTTCGCCTTGATATGTTTCCAAGCCGATCTTCATGTCTGGGATGTATCATCTCGAGCCGCTTTTGTACCCGTTTTGGTACTAGCATTAATTCACCGTCAGCCTTGGCAAACACCCGCTCCACGTAGCATCGTTTCTCATGGGCGTTTGGAAGCGTCTCAGTTGCCTCTATATTCACCACAGCGTTCTTCAGTAGCTTTGCGGCACTCTCAAGTGAAATATCCGGAGGTATAATACCATTCCACGTGGGTGGTTGAATCAAACAAAAATCCAGTTCTCTGTTAGGGTCTACAATGGTCACTATTGGAACTTCATTCATGTTGTACATCATTGACGGTATTTTCAGCACATCACGAAATAGGTATGCATTCAATTCAGAGCACAATTTGAACTGCTCTTCATGAAGTTCAAGCTCACGACAAAACTCAATTGTAACTAATTCCTTGCCTGCTCTCGTATAAATCGGAAACTGAGGTAAGAATTCAGGTAGGCGTTGTTTGAGAAGAATTCCCATACACCTGGGTTCAAGCTCGGGGTCCATATAGCTAAAAGTCAAATAATATAAGGGAACACATAAGAGAGAGTGCTTTTAAAATTTCATACAAAAAATTGCACAACAACTAACATAGAATCGCCAAACGAAGTTTCTATCATAATTTGCATTATAAAAAGGTCTACCACAAAAAAAAAGCAAAGTTAATCTTAAAAATTGAAACTTTTATTTTTGAGGAGATAGAAAGAAAAAACAATGAAAGCTGCCAGACTTACTTATCATCAAGATGGTCTGGATCATTGAGCTTCGTGAGGCGCAGATAGAACCGATACAGTTGGAGTCGGACTGGGAAGTCCGCAGAAGTCAGAGTTGTTGGTACAAAAGCTTCCGGCTGCACTCGAGGACACAGAATGAGATTCGTCTGGGATGCAGGACCGGTCTTGAACAATGACGCTACCTCCGGGCTCACCTCGTCCAGTGTTACTTCCAGTACGACCTTACGTTTGATTGGCAACATGTGCTGGCTAAGTTCACCAATTTCGTAGAGACGGTGCAGGGCATTCAACGCTGCTGACGTCTGTGTACAAATAATGGAACTATCTCGTAAGTCATATGATCAGATGCTAAGCTAAGACCAGCGGAATTATGTCTCTCCGGGAAAACGAAAAGTAAAAAATTTCACCTTATGTTGAGGCGGAATTACTTACGATAATACGATTATTCGGTGTGACCAAGTTGACACTATCAACGATATTTGATTAATTCAATGTAATTTAAATAAAGTAAGAATCGACTTGTTTAAAGTGAAACAAGTCAATCCTTAGTAGATTGTATCTGTAGCTGTTCTTTACTAAAATGTTACGGCACACAGATTTAATCTGAAACAGATCATCAGTTTTCGCACCGATCATCCCTGTACACACGCACATGTAACGTCCAAAATGTGATCTCCTGTACTCACCCTTGCGATAGAGTGCGATTCTTCCCAATCTCCATATACAGCTGTCTGGAGAAGACTTTGCCGTGGAAGTCGAATGCTGCAGCGTACGAGCTTCCGATACTGCGTCGATTCTTCGTACGTGTACTCGGGTGTCTGCAGCGTATAGCGATCAGACCCAAGCGAATCACAATACCACTGCAAGATCTGACGTGCAGCAAATGGCGTTATAATTGCACGACCGTTATTATGCTCATGCACCTTTGAGTAAATGTTGGCGAGCTGAAAACGATTATATAAGTGTAAGAACATCTGTGACGGCTCAACAGGGCCACGACGGTGCTCATTACAGTAACGTAACAATTGGAATTCGATGTTTTTGAACGTAGCCAGTTCATACTGTATTTCAACGGCTTCTCGAGCGCTCGCTAGGACAACGTAAAGTGATGGCAATCTGCGCGCCCGACCACGCGATTGCACATACGAACGCATACTACGCGGCGTATCAAATCGCACGACAAGATTGCACGCCGGCACATCGACGCCTTCCTCAATCACCGATGTAGCCACGAGAAGGTTGAGTTGGTGACTACGGAAGTCCCTTAGCACTCGTTCCTGGTGACGGACCAATTCTTGCTCAGCGAGCTGACCACCTTCGCCGTATTCCGGGCCATACAGTGCCATGCCGCTCTGACCAATGACGAAATCGCAACGAAGATGGCCCCACCGTTCCGGATATTTCGCTGACATCGCTTGAATCCAACGACACAAAGCAAACACTGTTGCCCGTTCTATGGTAAATATAATGCCGCACAACGGCTGGCCGAAACCCTTGAATTCTTCAAGTATTTCCAGAAGTTTCCAAGCTTTAGGGCTAGCATCTTCAAGAGGCGCATTCCAGCTGGTTACGATTCGTTCAGCAAGCTCATAAGATTTATGTAGTCGACGCGTACTCTGCAGCTTATCAGCGCGGGCCATATCGCTGAGGATAGTGTGCGTTAATTGTCGTACTCGACGGCGCACAACATCCAGACAGCCAAAAGGTCCAACGGCGGCGAGGATAGCGTTGACCGATGTGGACACGTTCGCGTCTGGGGTCGTCACGATACGAGGGCCACCAGCGTCATTGCCCGCGTTGACCGGAGCCGTCGGGTAAATCACGAGCAGCTCCCGTGGCCGAGTGATGTAATCCACGGCACTGAGGGCAGTGACTAGATTCGCACCGAGTTTACATTCCAATTCCTCAATTCGCGAGGCCATTTCGACAAGACGCACTTTCTTATTGAAAACTGAAGCTGTCAGCCCTAGTACACGGGGTCGAGCGCTTGGCTGCGTGCAAATATAATGATTTTGCATAATTTGCACGTACGGGTCCTTGCCTGTGGCGCAGTGGCATTCGTCGAACACTAACAAATTCAAATTGGCCATGGAGATAAAATTGGCGTTCAGTATATTATTCAGGATTGTAGGGGTCATAACCAACACGTTGTTCTCCTCGAACTGTTGGTACCATTGACGTCCTGACCAATCGTCAACACGCATAGCTCCAACGAAACTTCGGACGCGACCTGTAATATGTCGCGTGAGGTAGGCTGCCTGCTGTTGAACCAAAGGCACAGTCGGCGCGAGGAATACCGTTCTGCGGCCTCCATTTGCCAACGGGAGAGCGGTTTGGTAAAGCAGTTCTTTGATGAGTAACACCGCAATTAGGGTTTTTCCACAACCTTTGATGAGACAAAATTAACAATAGATGTTAATCTCTGCACAGCTATTGTTATTTTAGCAGGCTAGGGTCTTGGTCATTACGGAAATTTGTCAATTTCTGTCACATTTTACCGAGTTTATATAGAGCAAAGAGTGGGGATTAGCTATTGCTGATTCAAACATCTTGTGCGGATTATTTGGGTTTGCTGTAAAATAATTAAATGTAACCTTTCTATCTATTAATATATGGGCGTACTAAGTTTGATTAACGAGCATTTAGACCAATAACTGTTAAATCTTAAATCGGTAAAAATTAAGAGTATATTCATTTTTTTGATGCCTTCATTCTTTTTGATAACAGACGACTCTGTTAAATGACCTTCCGTCCTACAATCGCAGAACCCGCCCAGTTCGTACAAATGTTTATCAACGAATAGCCATTTTACAATAGGCTAGACCAGGCTCCAGAACCCGCACCCTGATAAGCCATCATACTGCTAATGATTAATTTCTGTTTTAGTAAACAACGGGTATACTGAACAAGGACCCACCCGTTCCAAGGCAGATGATCACGTTCTGCTTTGCCGCAAGCTCAAACAGCTCTAATTGAAAGTGGCGGGCAGCCAAATCTCGCACGGCAGGTTCTGCATATTCAGCGCCTAACGACCTGGACAAAAACCGCAGTTCTTAATAGCTAACCAAAATGATGGCACCCATAAAGTATTGACTTTTTATAGGTACTATCGAACTCGGCATTGGCATTGATAACAAACTACTTTACCGCTGTCTAAGCAAGGAGTCTGTCGGAGCTAATGAACAGGTCAAATAAAGTCTCATTTACTCAAGTGTATAGTTGTCAGCACAGTAGGACAAATTAGTAAGAAGAAAGAAAATGAATTTCCAATACACAATGTAAACCTCGTAGTAAACTTACCCCTCCACCTGTTCTACAGATGGCGCCATAGAACCCATGCTGTCCGCCAATCTTCTTTCACTCCAAGCCAACAACTCTTCCTTCGCGTGTTTTTGATTTAACCACTTTTAAGGTAAATAGTTCAATTCAGGATAAACAAATAATCGTACTGACAAGATCTGCTAGAAAACACACGACCTCCTGCCAGATGACACGAGGCAGGCGCCGCTGGTAGCGGGCTATTTTTACAAGGAGACAAAAATCGTGCGACATGTGTTCGCGATAGAGATCAACTGAATTCAGAGCAACAAAATCTTCGAATGGCGGCAAATTCAAACTCAAATATATACGACATCGGTATGTTACAGACTGTTCATCACTGAGATTTCATTCTTATGCGCCAATTCGCGTAAACATAAACACCTCGAATAATCAAATAGTTAAAAGTTTAAGGGTAGCTGATTACATATATAT